ACCCTGTCTACCATGACACAGCTTTTAAAGAACTATGTGCCTGAAAGCCTAGATCTCTGTTTGACAACATTTCCCAGGGCCCTACTATTAACGGTATAAGTCCTGCCCTTGTTTGTTTTACCAAAATGCAACACCTTGCATTTATCCAAATTAAACTCCATCTGCCACTTCTTGGACCATTGGCCCAATTGATCAAGATCCCTTTGTAATCTTAGATAACCTTCTTCACTGTCGATTATACCACCAATTTTGGTGTCATCTCCAAACTGACTAATCTTTTTTCTTAAATTCTTATCCAAATCATTTATATAAATGACAAACAATAGGGAACCAAGCACCAATCCCGGTGGGACACCGCTGCTCACAGGCCCTTTGAACATAATTATATATGTACATGTCATTATCTAATGAGAGTCATCTACCTACACAGGCTTAATATTGAATTTATACAATTAACAATTGATCATTGTTACAGCATTCCTTACGTATTCCATATATATATTGTACATACATACGTAATTATATATTTATATGTGTTCCTTATTTGCAATTGCAATTATTCAATGATTATCCTGGAGCCACCGGTAATTAAAGATTAATGTCCAGCACCGTACTTTGAGCAACTCAGGAGAAAAGTCATAAAGGAATTAGAAGAATTATGCGATAATTTCCTGCTCCTCTGATGCTGCTTGGCCTGCTGTGTTCATCCAGCTCTACACCTTGTTATCTCAGATTCTCCAGCATCGGCAGTTCCTACTATCTCTAGAAGAATTATGTGTCATTTTCATGATCTTAAACCCTTCTGTGTATTTACTTATTAATTCATGGGATATGAGTGTCAGTGGCTCAGCCAGCATTTATTGTCAGATTGTTTCCATGTATCTGCTGCCCAAGTCCTTTTGAATGGTAGAGGTTGTGGGATTGGAAGGTGCTGCTCAAAGTAGCCTTGGTGGGTTGTTGCAGTGCAAGATGGTACACACTGCTAACCACTTGCGCCAGTGGTGGAAGGAGGTAATGTTGAAGGTGTTGGATGCACTGCTAATCAAGCAGGCTGCTCTGTCCTGGATGGTGTCAAATTTTGTGAGTGTCGTTTTATGGTAGCTGTGATAATTTGAGCAAGTTTGAAAGGTATCCTGGATGTTGTTAGTGTAAAAGACCTAAGCAAGTGTTTAAGAGGCTTGCTGTACTTGAGGGGAATGAAGGACAAGGTGATAAATGAATCAATACAAAGCCAGAAGAAAGAGAGAGAAAGGAAAATTGAACTCGATCAAACACTCCTGCAGCTGCAAAGAAACATTTAAAATCAGCCATTTTATGTGAATTGAAGGAAACAGAGTTAAAAGCAGTTCACAGTAGAGACTGAAGATTTAACAAATAAAAACAGAAATTGCTGGAGAAACAAAGCAGATCTGGCAGCATCTGTGCAGAGAGAAAGCAGAGTTAATGTTTTGAGTCTGATCCGATTTCTTTGAAACTTCTTTAATGTACATTGGACTTGAAACGTTAACTCTATTTCTCTCTCTGCACAGATGCTGCAAGACCTGCTGAGTTTCTCCAGCACTTTCTGTTTTTATTTCAGATTTCCAGCACCTGCTAGAGTATTTTGCCTTTATTAAAGGAATTACTGAGTTGTTCTCCCTGAGAACGATACAAGCATCCTGAGGGTGTAAAAACGTGGCATCTTTAGGTTACCTTTCACAACCTCAGGATGCACTGACTCCTATCATGTACTTTGTTCTGAAGTGTGGATATCGATGTAATATATAGGAAATACAGTATGGAGCGCATACACAGCAAATTCCCTTCAGCTGCAATGTGATCATCTCCTTTATTGATGTTGATTGAGGGATAAAAATTGGCCAGGACACTAGACTGAACTCCCCTGTCCTTGTTTAAGATAGTATCATGGAATCTTTTACAGTCAAGGCTTCCACTAAAACTCTCAAGCCAAGAGACAGCACCCCTGACAATACAGCACACTCTCGGTGCTGCACTGGGAGAGTCAGCCTCGTAATGTGCTTTAGTCCAAGTGTGGGACTTGAACTCATGGCCTTCAGACTTCAATGCTACCCCATTGAACTCCAGCTGACATGGTTCACAAAACCCTGTGGCTGTAGCTGATATCCCACACCCTAATGTGGAAATAGTTAAAAACCTGACCTCAAAGAATTTCAAGCATGTTTGTGATGTTCACAGCCTGAAAAGCTTCAATAACTCTGGAAATTAACAAGCAATAAAATGCTACCGATTCACAAGGACAGAGGCTGGAAGTAGAAAGCAATTGTTATTGGCTTTCTGCTGTTGTGTTGACAGAACTATTCAGCATCACTGTCAAACTACTTGATGTTAAATGGCAACTCATCTGAATATTTTTCACAGATAGAACATGCAGAGGGAGATTGATATCGAAATGCTGGTCATCTTTACACTTGTTGGCTGGCTGCAGTTTCTCAAAGTCCATGCTTAATGGGATAAATTAATCCATTGATTGTTACTCGTTGAGGGGTTGTTAAGACATTAGCATTGATTCCCTTACAAGTGTGATTCTCATCTTTGTACAGATCTGATCTCTTTAAAAGCCTCATGTATATACTGTATGCACACCTGTATATCTCTCTAACCCCCTCTCCATATCGTTTACACCCTATATACTTCTCTAACCCCCTCTATTTCCCTCTCCTTACAGTACACAGCCTATAAAGCTCTCTATTTCCCTCTCTATACCGTACACACCCCTGTATGCCTCTCTATTTCCCTTCTCTATACTGTACACACCCCTGTATGCCTCTCTATTTTCTTCTCTATACTGTACACACCCCTGTGTGCCTCTCTATTTCCCCTCTCTATACTGTAAACACCCCTGTATGCCTCTCTATTTTCCTCTCTATACCGTACACACCCCTGTATGCCTCTTTTTCCCTTTCCTTACAGTACTCAGCCTATATACCTCTTTATTCCACTCTCCATTCCATATACACCCCAAATACCTCTCTATCCCCCTCTCCTCGCAGTACACACCCTATATCTCTCTATTCCCCGTCTCCATACCGTACACACCCTGCATACCTCTCTATTCCACCTCCATACTGTATATGCTTCTGTTGATATTACTATTCCTTTCTCATTATGATATACACCTCTGTGATTGTCTTTATTCTCCTGTCCTTACAGTGTACACCCATGTATCTCTCCAAGCCCCTCCCCTAACAATACATCCCTGTATACCTCTCTGTGCCCCTCTTCTTCTGTGCCAGGGCTCCTGGGGGGGTGGTTTGTGGTGTGAGGATGGTTTCAACAGAAGGAGGGATGTAGTGATTGGAATGAGCTTGGCCAGATGGATCTCATTGAGTATGAGATTCCTGACTGAGGCTGTTAACCTGGGGCCATTCAGGGAGCCCTGGCTGACAGACATAAACAGGAGTATCAGAGAGCCTCATCACTCTAGGGACTGGCTCTGAGCTAGCTGGTCAGAGTCCACATACTGTGCTCATGTAAATAAAAGGTGACTTGGTGACAGGATACTGGGCTCTGTGCAGTTATTCCAGAAGGTATAGAGATGGACAGGATTAGTGGGGGCATCCAGAGAATTGGATCGAGGCAGCTGAAGGCCTTAGCACTGATTATCAAGGGAATAACTAGTGTCCATTGAGACAAGACAGTCACTGCCAACCCCAATAAACCCAAAACGCTGCACATGCTGGAAATCTGAAACAAACGCAGAGAGCGCTGTGCGAAACTCAGCAGCTTTGGCAGCATCTGTGAAGTGAGAAACAGAGTTAACATTTTGTGTCCAATACGACTCCTCTTCAAACTGGAGTTTGAAACATTAACTCCATTTCTCTTTCTCCGCACAAAATACAATCAGGAATTCAGGAGAAATATCTTTCGCAGGGAGTGGGGAGCTACAGGAAGTAACTGAGGATAATAACATTGAAATGGTTAAGGGACGGCCTCAAGAAACGGATGAGCAACAAAGTTTGAACAGCAAGTGCTGATGGAGTTTGAGGAAGTAGGGATTACAGGAGGTGTGTGTATGGAGTATAAAACCCAGCCTGGAGTGGCAAAGCTGAGAGCCGGTTCTGGTGCTACACATTCTATCTGAAGATACAGAAGTCTCTTCTCATTATCTCTTGGGATGTCGGTGTCCCTGGCTCAGCCAGCATTTGTTGCCCATCCCAGTTTGTCCAGAGGGCAGTTAAGAGTTAACCACATTGCTGCAGGTCTGGAGTCACATGTAGGCCAGTCAGGGCACAGCTGGCGGTGAAAGTTGATAGGCTTTTGACAGCAATCTACAGTGCAAAAACAGAAATTACTGGAGAAAAGCTCTCAAGTACTGTGCAGCATCCACAGTTATTTGTTTTATTTTAATGGCTATGTGGTCTCCATGAGGCTAGCTTCTTACTCCAGATTTTATACCTGCCATGGTGGGATTCAAACCCCTGTCCTTGGAACATTATCCTGGGGTCCTGAATTATTTGGGGCAGGCAATGGCCTAGTGGTATTATCACTAGACTATTAATCCACAGACCTGGATAACATTCTGGCGACTGGGTTTGAATTCCACCACGGCAGATGGTGGAATATGAATTCAGTAAATATCTGGAATTAAGAATCTAATGTTGATCATGAGTCTATTGTCAATTGTTGGGGGGAAACCCATCTGGTTCACTATATCCTTTAGGGAAGGAAACTTCCATCCTTACCTGGTCTGGACTACATGTGACTCCAGACCCACAGCAATGTGATTGACTCTTACCTGCCCTCTGGGTAATTAGGGATGGGTAATGAATGCTACCTGGCCAGCAACACCATCATCCCATTAAGGAATAAAGGACTAGTCTAGTGACATGAAAACTAACCCACTGCCTCTCCTTTAAGTGCCAGAGTTTGAGGGTTTGATGTGTATTTTAGCCATCAAAGTCCTTGAACGACTGCGATCTCAAAGCTCCCGATGTCCCAGCAGAACAAGAAATAGTGGAGTCAAAAGTAGCCCATACTAGTCCGATTCATTCACATTTTATTGAAAGCTACTTTGAAACCAGCCCAGAGTCCCCCCACTTTGGTTATTTCCAGGGATGTGGATTCCCTGAAACACAGGAATGCTGGAATTTTCAGAACTATGTAATCTGCACAGCACCATCAAACAGGAGCTGAACAAACATCAAAGTCAAACTGAACTGTGTGCTGAACTGGACTGGATGGCCCGCATTTATCTTGACTCGGTTCCTCCTGTTGTTCGCTCCCTCTGGTGTACCGTCAAAGGTCAGGCTCATAGTTGCCTCGTCACTGCCTTGGAGGGAGACAGTGTTCCTCCAGCTGATTTTTACATGCTCTCTCCCGCTGGCAGCTTTGGTCTTTGCATTGCCCCACTGAGGCTGTGGGCTGTACCTCCGTCGGCTTCCCCTGAGTGAGAAAACAAAACCACATCAGACTAATGACAGCACAGCGTCCAAACCCTATATAACACAGAGTTTCCAGACTAGCAGAACCAGGGCCTCTTGGGTCAGAAGTTGCCAGACTCAAGTCCCATTCCAGAGACCCGAGCTTAGACTCTAGACTGATACAGAGCTCCATCCAGCTCCATGCACTCGCCTCGGCTTCCATCCAGCACTGACAGCGTGCCACACTGCTTGAGCTACTGCCTTTCGGATGAGACCTTAAACTTAAATGCATCTGAAGAAGTCATACCAGACTTGAGACTCTACAAACTCAGTTTCTCTGCGTGCAGATGCTGCCAGTGCTACTGTATCTCACCAGCATTCGCTGTTTCTGCCCCATCTGCCCTGTCAGGTTTTCCAAAAAAGATCCAAGATTGGAAAACCATCAGAGTTCTGTGCAGTGTTCTTTGTGGGATATCCACCTCTCAAACAATATCGCTGACCTGTGTCATCTGATCAATGACCTCACTGCTGTACAAACTGGCTGCCTCGTCTCCTTCATTCATTCTACATTGGTAAAAAAACACTTCATTTGCTTTAAGGTGCATGAGGACATGCCGTGGAATATGCAAACACAAACCTTTGTTTGCAAAACCTAGAGTGGACTCCCAGTACACTAGTCAGACAGTGCCGCAATGTCAGAGGATTAGTACTGAGGGAATGCTGCTGTGTAAGAGGGTTAGTACTGAGGGAGTGCCGCTCTGTCAGAGGATTAGTACTGAGGGAGTGCCCCTCTGACAGAGGTGCAGTAATGAGGGAGTGCCGCTCTGACAGAGGTGCAGTACTGAGGGAGTGGCGCTCTGACAGAGGTGCAGTACTGAGGGAGTGCCGCTCTGACAGAGGTGCGGTAATGAGGGAGTGCCGCTCTGACAAAGGTGCGGTAATGAGGGAGTGCCGCTCTGATAGATGTGCAGTAATGAGGGAGTGCCGCTCTGATAGAGGTGCAGTACTGAGGGAGTGCAGTCTGTGAGCTGTTTTGGGCTCTATATCACACAAATGATCTCCAGGCAGTGAGGAAGGCGCAGAAGTAACATTCACAATGATGATACTGGAACTGAGAGGTTGTACCCTTTTGGAAAGATGGGTCAGGCTGGGACTCCTTTCTCTAGAAAGATAAGGGAACAAGGGACTTGTATTGAGATCTTTAAGATAATGAAACAGTTCAACAGGTTAGATGGTAGATGATTGCTGGGAGACCAAAGAATGAGGCTATGAATACAGCATAGTTACTAATAAATATAACAGGGAATCTGGGAGAATTTGGAAATGTGGAATAGCCTACCAAAGGGAGTAGGTGAGGTCAGTGTGTTTAAGGAAAGTTAGTTAAACAGATGAGGGAGGTAGGAACAGAGGGAGATGTTGGATGAGTTTGAAATAAAAGAGTGAAGGGAGGCACATATGGAGCATGGACTTTTCCCTGTTGCTGGGCAGTAAATTCCATGCAATGCTGTCTAAGAGATTCCATAGCTGTGTTGCATCCACACCCCGTTCTGTTCCCACACAATATCCAGAATCCAGGAGGGCTGTCAGAATGGATTAAGATGATCCTTTCTCCCTCTTTAATGGAGAAAATTTGGGTCGTGTTCTATAAACCATACGGCAGAGAACAGAGGAACTTGATCCATCAGGAATCCTGGCTGAAACTTATTTTCCACTGTGCGTCAATGCTGCAATCCAATCCTCATGTGTCTGACCCTCGTCTAAGCTTCAAACTCCATATCCTTCAATAAATAAACTACATATCTCCTGAATTCACTCCACTTCCTCTCATCTTAATCCTTCTGTTACCGCCAGCCTATCAATCCTCCACACCCTCAATCTCTCCTTATTCCTCCGTGCCCTCCAACTCTCCTTATTCTTCCTACTTCCTCCATCTCTCCTTACTCCTCCCTTTCCCACCATCTCCCCATAGTCCTCTCCCGCTCCTTCCATCTCTCCTTACTCTTCTCCTGCTCTCACTGTCTCTCTGTTCTAAATCTTCTCCCGCTCCCTCCAGCTCTCTCTCTTACGAACCATCTGGCTCGACCATGTGAAGTATTTAGGCCATTTTGTCGTGTTGTGTGCACTGGGGGTAAATGCAAGCTGTATTACTGCAGCGTGACCTGCAGTTGTGTGCAGTCAGGAAGCGTGGATCCCATGGTGCTGATAACTAAAGGGGCCGACGAAGGCAACTCTTTGGGGTATTTACTGGAGCTGATTTCCTTGCAAGTGTCAGGTTACGGCTTTGTTCTGTCTGAGTGCATCAGGCAATTGCATGGGATGGCAGTGAACAGGAAAAAGGGATCAGGAACAATAAAATTCTACCCTTCAATCTGGTCTGCAATTTACCTGCAGTTGACAGTACAAACTCACGCTGAACCGATTCGCTTGACAGGAGCGGAGCTCAGTGTGACCTTCCAGTGATAAGCACATCGCTGGAATTAAGTCTGCTTTCCAACAGTGTCATAGACAGATGATTGGGAATATGACACACTATGAGATTACATAGAGAGCTGGCTTTAGAGATGATCCATCTCTAAATATTATCTGTTACAGGGCTGCATGGAGCATTACATTGGGAATTCCACAATTGGTCTCCAGCCAAAACGAACAGACCATGTTGCCAGAATATCGATATGCCTCTATATCACTTCAATTCCTAACCGAGGCAAAACAGTAATGTCGACACTGAATTTGTTTTAAGATTTTGTTATTTTCCCTTTGATGATGCTGTTGGCATACAACAACTGTCAAAACGCAAGATTTTCACTCTCGGCCGTGAGACCGTGGAAGGTGGTTTACAATAGAGAAGTGACTTAGGGAATAGCAACAATAGCAAGTAACAATGCAGTGTGAAAACATGGTTTGGGGTCCCTCTCATCCCTGTCTGACAACTGGCTCTGGTGACTGAGTGGACATGGAGCACTGGTCTGTGCTGTATCCAGCACCAACACTGAGGTATTCTGCAAACCTGATAACGCACCATCTTAGATGCAAATTCTTGGAATGATAAAATGGTCCCAGCACAGTGGGAGGCCATTCGGCCTATTGTGTCTGCGATGGCTTTGCCAACGAGTTATTTACCTCGTGCCATTCACCTGCCATTTCCCCCATACTCCTGGAAAAATTTCCTTTCAGATAAGGATCCAATTCACTTTTGAAAGCCTCAACTGAACCTGCCTCCACCACACTCTCAGGCAACGCATTTCAGATTCCAAACATTCACTGGGTGAAAAAATTTCTCTTTGTGTCTGCATCGCTTCTTTTGCCAATTACCTTAAAGCTGTGCACTCGATTTCAAGGCTTCTAGCAATGGGAACAGTTTCTAAATATCAACTCTGTTCGGACCTCTCATGATTTCAAACATTTCTATCAAATCTCCTCTGAATCCTCTCTTTCGTGAGGAAAACAGTCCCAGCTTCTCCAATCTTTTTTTTTGTTTGTTTTTAGCTCTATGATAGTTTTGATATTACACTTGGAATACTGTGCATGGCTCCAATACTAGTCACTACATTTCTAAAAAAGATAGGCACTGGAGAAGGTGCAAAAACAGATTGATAAGGATGATACCAGAACTGAGAGGCTGTTAATACAATCTGAGGAAAGACTGAACAGACTGAAGTTCCTTTCTTTGAAAAAAAAGGTTCAAACCTTTCAGAAGAATGAGGTGCAGGAATAGGCTATTCAGCCCTTTAGGCCTGCTGCACCATTCAATATGATCAAAGCCGATCATCTGAGCAAAGAACAAGAACAAACGATATGGCCTTCGAGCCTACACTGCATTCAACAGGTGCATGGCTAATCTGATTTTAACTTCAACTTTGCATTCCTGCATATCTCCAAGAATTGTTCACTCCTTTTTCCCACATCATATTCTACCTTTCTCTTGATCACTTCCTTCTCTACCTACCCTGATGACATCAGCATGTTTTGCAACTATACATTGGGTCCCTTCATCATTGATATAGATTGTAACTACCTGAAGTTCCAACATTGATCCTTGGACACTAAATTAATTACAATCAGCTGAAATAACCAATCCTTTACCTATGCTGATAAGCTGTGCGCTTCACCATGAATTCTTGTTTTTGATGAGACACCTCATCAAATGCTTTTTGGAAATGGATGTATGCCAAATCTACATATCTCCCACTACCACCTTAACCACCTTGCTTCTTACTTCCTCAATACACTCAAATAAATTGGTTAAACTCAATTTCCCTTACACATTCATGTTAACTTTGCCTGAGCACATTATTCATTTCTAATATCCTGCTAATCCCCTATATAATAGATGTCAGGCTGACTGGCCTATAGTTCCATTTTTCCTGAGTGTCTCCTTTGTTGAATACAGGTGTTCTATTTGCTATTTTCTAATCTACTGGGATCCTTCCAGAATCTAAGGCATTTTAGAAGATTATAATCAATGAATCCTCTATATCTGCAGCTACTCCTTTTATGACCCTCAGATACAAGCCATCTGATCCTGGCAGTTTGTCATCCTTTTGGTCTAATAATTTTTGCAATATATCTTTTGCCTGCCGATGGTGATTATTATTAGTTCGTCCCTTCCACTCATCACCAGATCTTCAAGCATCTTTGGAAAGTTTTCTAAGTTTTCTACAGTGAAGACAGACATAAAATACAAGTTCAATACCTCCACTATTTCCTGATTTTCCATGATCAGATTCCTAGACTCATTCTCTTGAATACCAACACTTGCTTTAGTTATCCTTGTAGAAACTCTCACTATCTGTTTTGATACTATTGGCTAACTTTTAATGATAGTAAAATGTAGCGTATGCAGGGTAGTTTGGTCTTAGAGTAGGATAATAGGTCGGCACAACATCGTGGGCCGAAGGGCCTGTACTGTGCTGTACTGTTCTATGTTCTATGTTTCTCTCAACACTCTACTTTCTCCCTTCTGGTTATTTTTTGTCATTCTTCGCTGATCATTGAGTCATACAGCACAGAAACAGACACTTC